TTGAAATAGGCAATTGGTATCTTGATAGGAACTGTGTTGGATCTATAGATTGCTTTGGGTAGTACGAACAGCTTAATGGTGTTAATTCTTAATGGTGCAAACGTTGTACCAAATATTTCAAAAATTTATATGTAACCACAAAAAGACCCAGAATAGCAACAGCAATCTTGAGAAAGAACAAAGTTGGAGGAATCATGCTACTTAATATCAAACTATACTATATAGCCATAGAAATTAAAACAGCATAGCAAGGACATAAAAACAGACACATAGATCAATGGAACAGAATAGAGAGCGCAGAAATAAACCCACACCTTTATGTCAATATTCAACAGAGGAAGCAAGCATATTTAATGGGCTAAAGATTATTTATTGAGAACCAATAAATGGTACTGGGAAAATTGGACAGATACTTGCAGAAAAATAAAACTAGAGCACCTCTTAATACCACACACAAGAATCAATTCAAAATGGATTACAGACTTAAATGTTAGACTTGAAACCATGAAAATCCTAAAAGAAAACAGAGGCAGTAAATTCCTGGGACATTGCTTGCAACAATGTTTTCTCTGATACATCACCTCAGGCAAGGGAAACAAAAGAAAAAACAAGTGGGACTACATAAAACTGGAAAGCTTTCGCACAGCAAAGGAAACCATGAACAAAATAAAAAGACAACTCACTGAATGAGAGAACATATTCACCAATACACCTGATAAGGGGTTAATACCCAAAATTTATAAAGAACTTACAAAACTCAACACCAAAAAACCGAACAATTCAATTAAAAAGTGAGCAAAGGACATGAACAGACACTTCTCCAAAGAGAACTTCCAGATGGCCAATATACATATGAAAAGATACTCAATGTCACTAACCATTAGAAAAATGCAGGTTAAAACCATAATGAGCTACCATCTCACACCTGTCAGAATGGCTATCAATGAATCTACAAACTGCAGGTGCTGGCAAGGATGTGGAGAAAAGGGAACCCTTTTGCACTGTTGGTGGGGATGCAGATTGGTCTAGCCACTACGGAAAGTAGTAGGAGTTATCTCAAAAAATTAAACATAGAACTGCCTCATGACCCAGCAATTCCACTTCTGGGCATTTATCCAAAGAAACCCAAAATACTAACTTGAAAGAATATAAGCACCCCTTATATTATTTCATTGAAGCATTATTTACAAAAGCCAAGATTTGGAAGCAGCTCAAGTGTTAATCAGTAGATGAGTGGATAAAACTACGGGACATTTACACAATGCAATACTACTCGACCATAAAGAAGAAACTTTTATCCTTTGTGACAGCATGGATGGACCTAGAGAACACTGCTCTAAGTGAAATAAGCTATTCAGAGAAAAACAAATACTGTATGATTTCATTCATATGTGGAATATAATGAACAAAGTGAACTAACAAGCCAAACAGTCACAGGCTCATAGAGAGCAGGCTGACAGTTCTGGGGGCAGTAGGGGCGGAGGGATGGAGAAAAGACGAAAAAGGACTTATGGACACTGAAAAAAGTGTGGTAATTGTGGGGAGGGGAGGGAAGTGGGTGGAGGCGAAACGGGATATAAGGGGGATAAGTGGTAATTGAAAAATACAATTAGAAAAACCTTTTTTTTTTAACAGGTTTGAGTCAAACTGATTACATATGTTAAAAGAGCAAGATCTCAAATACTCCAAAGAATAACAGTTTTGCAGCTTCTTTTATGCATTAAAATTAATAAGGACAATAAGGAAGATTACATAGAGTTGGGAGAAACCAAGGTGAGGACTAGATTACAGGATAGTTAGTAAGATCCTGTGCTCCCTCGAGGGTGGTTACAGCTTATTTCAAAAGCATGTTAACCTAGATATACAGATACAATGGACAGGGCTTACTTAAAGCAAAGATACACTTTTTACTAAATAACTTACATGCCTGGAAGATGAATATCAGTCATGACCAGCCCAATTTGGAATTTACGATCACACCACCTTGTGAGGTTACTTTCCATAAAACACTTTTGTTGTCCAAAACTCTCTTTCTAAAGATAAAATTGGTAACCGTGTATATGTAGTGTAGAGGAAGAAGAAACTTTCCTCTACCCTCCTAGGTTCCTTCTGCTGGTCTAATGATTAAATCAACATGAGTCAGATTAGTAAGAGAAAATAATCAAATTTAGTAAATACATACACATGGGTATCACTACATGAGAGTCAGAGAACCCACATATGTGAAAGGTTCAAGGAAAGTCAGGTTGAATTGATACAGAGATCTAATCAGATCACTAGGGAGGAGCAGGAAGGGGCTATAGAAGGAGACTGCCCAAGGCAATGGTAAACAGCTTAGGAAGGGATTGGCTGAGAAGCTGAATGCCTCCAGAGCCTGGAATAAAAAGAGGGCTGGTTCTTTCAGGAGTGACTCCCTGGCTCACCTCTTCCCACAGGATTCCTGGATGATTGTGCTGCAGCTGCCCCCATTTCCCAATGAAGGATGTTTTGGAGGAAGGAACTCCTGGCATAGCCTAGGATCAGGCTGGCCTGGCAGAGGGCTATAAGGTTGTTCTTCTTTGCCTGTTCTAGAGGTGACAAGCTCTGAGGTAGAAGCCTGCCATTCTTCCAAAATGTGTAGCTTTTGTATCTTATGTTGTTTTAGTTTGTGAACTAGCCCTTATAGAAATAAGATAATTAAAACTAACCAGGAGGAGTGCTTGTAGAACTCAGGTGTTAAAGAGTTTAGCCTTAATTGATAGACTTAAGTGACTGATGCAAGCGGAAAGCTGTTATTCCAAAATTTTGTAATTTTTGAATAAGGACTCCTTTCCTTTATTACCAAACCTTTGCCTCTGGAATTTGCCATAGGGTCGTGATGGGCAGCAGGACCCCACATGCTATACAGTAACAGATATAAGAACATCCAAATTGTAGAGAATATTTGTATCAGAGTTAATCTGATGATCTCACCTATAAGGGGAATCTAATGAACAAAACAAACAAATGAGCAAAACAGAAGCAGGGGCATGGAAACTAGGAAGAGACTGACTGTGACCGGAAGTGGGGAGGGAGGGGAGTAAGGAGAGAAAGACAAGGAAAGGTCTAGTTAAGGAACAGGTAAAAATGACCCATGCATGTGGACAACAGGGTAGGGACTGACTGTGGGAGAGGGATGGGAGGGGCAGGGGAGAGCAACAGGGGAAAATTCGGACAACTGTAATATAACAATTAAAAAAAATTAAACTAAAACAAAAGTTACTATGAGTCAAACTGATGACATGCTGGGAAGTGTGGGCAAAAAGGGGCCACATATTAAATCTGATAAACTTAGGCAAGGCCTGCATGGCAGCTGTACAAACTCAGAGACCTAAGGCAATCACATAGGATGGTCTGAAATTAAAACTTTTTAACTAAAAGCAGTTTATGAGAGGTAGTCACGGCCTCGGCTAGAATCTTCCCGACAGAAGTCAGTCTTTTACCTTAATTGAGCCGATCTATGGTCTTTTTACATCTACTGTAACATAATTTTGAAATCCAAAGTACTTTCCTTCCCCTAGTCCCTACTCTTCAAAGCACAGGTACCACAAATCCCCTCACTGTTATTGTTAGCATCTTAATGATGACTGTTAACTATCCTGTACCTACCTCTATAAAAGAAGTATCTATCATTTTACTTGTTATCCAATCCCAGAGGTTTCCCCACTTTGCTTTCTCCCACCTGCCTCCCTAATCTATTACCAGTGGAAGTCATGGAATCAACTTATGTCTTGTCTTTTGATTGTAATGTACATAATAATTTGAATGGGTTAAAATATAAGTAATGGGAGATTTGCAGCATAACCCTTTGTGTAAACTTCACTCTTACTAGCATATGTTTTACTCCTAAATAAAACTGTTTAAGATTCTCATTTCACCAAGTGCAAATAATGACTTCTGATGTCTTTAAAAAGTATGTTAAAAATCTGAATAATTAAAAAATAATTGGATGCCTGAGCCAAATTATTCAATCATTCAATATTATCCATTGAGGACCTTACCAGGTATTCTGTTCGACGCTGGGGATCCAGTACAACAGAGGTAGACACACCTAACACCCTGAGCATACCACTCAACTCCAGATTCTTTGTGGGCAACATCAGTTAAGGGTTGCCACTTTACAAAATATTGTTTCACAAAGGCTTGTTTTTGTCTCGAATCTGTATTTACAATAAAACCCAGCATACCAAGATTTACAGTTCTTGGTTTATGTGTTTTCTTAAGTAGAATAAAAGTGCCTTGAACAAAGTGAGTATACTGTAGAAAACTGCATATTCATGAGCGTTGCAAGATGCTTGTATCCAGGCAGGTACTAAGTGACTCTCAGGTAAATGAATATACATCAGTAGAAGTCAAACAGAGGAGATTTTTTCTTTGTGTTTCAAGGTTCCTGTGGTCTCTGTGATGGCTACTGGTTCTTCCCTAAGAATAATGGAATAGAAGTTTATACTGTTACACAGGCAATCACAGGAGATTCTGAAAATCAATAAAGCAACCATTAAGATGTTAGAGATACGAATGAGGTAGGGTGGGGCAGAGACAGAAGAAGAGTATTTGGAGAATGTTTAAATTTGGTAAGAGAAGGAGAATGTGACAGAAAAGAACAGGGACATAAGAACATTAGGTGGGAATTGGAAAGCCATTTAGTTTTATGATTTTATTGTATGAATGAAAAGACTTTTCAATGCCACGTAAGACTTACTCCATTGAGGCTAAATTAGAGAAAGATGAAAAGAATGAAGGCTGCGGCATACTAAGGGGAGATGCTGAAAGCCAGAGAAGAACTGGAGGGCACATAAGAGGCTCGTGATTGGTGACTGGTGACTACGGTTTAGGGAAGGAGAATTTTTTCTGCGGGGGCAAGGTGGTGCTGGTTTGTCTGTCGGTAGAAGGAAGTCAAACAGAGGTATTTTGGGGTAGGTTTATTTAAAACAGAAATCAAAGACCAACTTTTCTGAGAAAGACGTAGCGTCTGTGAAGTAATGCTGTTTCTGCTAATTCCATTGCTAGCAGTTCTCCTGGCAGGTGGTCACAATGAAGAGGGTAAGAACTCCAGCAACTGCCTAGCTGGCTGCAAAGGGGTGGGTGGGTGTGCGCTTTCTGTGTGGTGTCCTAAGAACATACCTGGAGAGTGAGAATGTCAGCATAGTTCCGTTCTGAGTATACCTTACTTTAGGACCCTGTGCCCCTCTGAAGGTTGTACAAGGTGCAGGAAAAAGTAGGTTTACAGTTGTATGTGAAAGAGTTTATTCTTGTAGTATTAATTATTGTATTGTTTTTCATATGAACAACTGTAATCTACTTTGCCCCACCCTGTATATAAAGCATGGGGCCCTGGGCAGGTGCATGTCTCCAGAATCTGGAGATTAAGGGAGGTAACTATGGCCTCCCTTAATCTCCAGATTCTGTTTTCCCTTTCTGGCACCTTTCTTTCTTCATTCTCTTTCCTTCCTGGTGATTTTCCCCCCCTTCATTCTAATCTTTCCCACCCCCACCCCCCTTCTGATAGCCTTCCAGGACCATATCTTTAGAGCCATCTATAGTCTATCCTTATACAACCATTCCTCGATACAAAATTGGGCCTCTGGTTGGTTGGATGAGTTGCAGACTTTTAGATGGAAGAGCGACTCTGGCAGTACTTTCCTGCAGCCTTGGTTCCAGGGCAACTTCAGCCACAAAGATGTAACACAACCTGAAGAGGCATTCCACAGACTCCACGCTAAATTATTGCATTTACTTCGCAACCATGCCAGTCAATGGATGCTTGAATGTAAGTAAGTTCAATTCCCAAAATGGGGCAGTGCAATGTTGGGTAGGGTGTGTGTGTCTCAATGAGTTTTTAACTTATTTTTTTTTCAGCATTCAATCTTATCAGAAATCTCTACCTGTACATTCATTGTAACCTAACGCATTTCATTCACCCTAGTTTTTATAAACAACTCTACACTAAGTTCTTCCTTATTCTCTAGCTCTCACAGTTTATGCCACTTTTTTAACAATTTGCTCCCTTCCATTTCCAAAAAAAAGTCATTCATTTCCCCCTCCTACAAGTACCACCAATTATGTTTTTTCTGAACTTCTGAGGAAACCAAACTTTGTTCCATTACCTCAAATCCCCCAAACTTCTCTCTTCCACTTCCTTTTTTGGCTTCCACTTATTTCATCTTTTTTTTTTTTTTTTAACTCCCTCTTTCCTCTAATTTACAATCTCTCTTCTCTAGATCCCTTTGAGATACAGGCAACAGTAGGCTGTGAACTGCATTCTGGGGAAGTCAAGATAGACCCTTGTCAATTTGCTTATCAAGGATCAGATCTCCTAAGCTTCCAGAACACCACATGGGTGCCATCTCCAAAGGGTGGAATTAGAGCTCAGCAGATGTGTGCACTACTCAATCAGTACACTATCATCAACAAAATAAAGCACAGGATCATCAGTGTCGACTGCCCACGTTATCTCTTAAGTGTCCTTGATACAGGGAAGGCAGTTCTCCAGAGAAAAGGTCAGTCCTCATCATTCCTCCAAGAATTTTCTATTCTAAAATTATACCTTATCATCCCTTTAAATTTAGGATAAGAAGGAGTCAAGAGGGAGAGGGATAATGTGCGATGAATTCCCAGGGTGGGACAGATGTGTCTGTCTATATTGATGTGAGGATACAAACCTCCAAATCTGTGTTAAGAGGCCTTATCTGAATACCCTTCCTGTCTTCTGCAGTAAAACCAGAGGCCTGGCTGTCCATTGGCCCCAATCCTGATCCTGACCATCTGTTGCTGATTTGTCACGTCTCTGGCTTCTACCCAAAGCCAATTTCAGTTATGTGGATGTACGGTGAACAGTCAGAACAGGGCTCTCAACAAAGTGGTATCTTGCCCAATGCTGATGGGACATGGTATCTTCAGATTTTCTTGGACGTAAAAGCCACCAACACATCTGGCCTATCCTGCCGGGTGAGACACAGCAGCCTAGAAGGCCAGGACATCATCCTCTACTTGGGTAAGAAAAAACTGGGGTCTATGCTGGGAATAGGAGTAGACAGTCCACAAGCAGAGCAAAAGAGCCAGATAAAAATTTATGGGCTCTGAACCCAAAATAATGAATTCAATAAGTAAAAGAGTTGAAAATAAGAGACCTGCAGATCAACATCGTAGGAAGATATTGAGGGTTAGATGAAAGATTCATCTCTGAAGAGGGATGAGAAAAGAAAGGAGATTAGTGAGGTAAACATTCAAATTAAAAAAAAAAAAAAAGCAGACGTGAGAAATGTAGTAAAAGGGGTGAATTTGAAATGACACCCTTGTGTGCACCCAAACCCACAGAACGTCCTAATTCCAAGAGCTTGGTCATCTTGGCAGTGATGGTACCCCTGGTGCTTCTTCTGACAGGTCTTGCATTTTGGCTTAAAAAGCGCTGGTGAGTTTATTGTATCCATCGTTCCTTTTCTTTTACATACTCCTTACTTGTCTTCCCATTTTTTTTTTTTTCTCTAATTCTTTCCCCAGTCCCTTTCCTTTTACTCTTCAATTCTCACCTCCACTTCATGTACAGTAACTTTAATCTCTGTTCTTCTTAGGACACACTGTGAATTTTCCAATTTTCTCCCTTTGGAATGAGATTCCAGCAGCCCAGGGACTCAGGACACATTTAAATGCAGCACGGTGATCATGTCTTCCAACTCTCCTTTGTATGACTTTTGTTGTTGTTTACTTACGTTTGTTTAATGGTCAGTTATTAATGTAAGCTAAGTGTAATTCTGCAGGATTTGCTTTCTAACCCAGTTCTGAGATTTTAAACTCATATTTTAACTGGATAAAATGAGATCCTAGTAACCTTTACATATTGGAAAAATAATGAATCTCAGGCTCATTTCAGATGTCACTCTTCTTTCTGGAGGCCTTCCCTGATTGATTCAGAAGTGGAAGCAGTGTCTGAACTCCCACCACACTTTGCAACATAACTTGCTGAGTTTACTTCTCACTTTGTACCCTTTTGGTGCAGCTACATTATGTAGGTCCCTTGTACATTTCTAATTTTTAAGTTTCTTCAGAGCAAAGTCTATATCTTCTTAAAGTTTGTATCACTTACGAAGTGCATTAACTGTATGTAGTGTGCTTTCAATAAAAGCCTGTGTTAACTTTATGCCAAATACAGTCTTTTCTTAATCTTCCTGACATGTTTGTAGTAGTTGAGACATTTTATGCTTTTTGTTAAAAGTCTTAACACTTTTCTAGTTCCTTAGTGACTTCTCTGAGTCCCTGAGGAGAAATACAATTTTGCCTCTAACCATTCTTGTAATTGTAGAGATCTATTTGTGTGACATTTTTCTCCAAGTATGAGAAAGGGAGGCTACAGTCCTTGCTATTTAGTGTGGTTCAGGGACAAACAGCAGAGTTACCACCTTAGAGCTTGTTAGAAATCTATATTCTTGGACTTTACCTCAGACTACGTGAATCACAATTGCACTTTAGCAAAATCAGCAAGGGATTCATTAGGTACATTAAAATTTGAGAAGCACTGATATAGGTACAGTCTGAGAGGTAGCAGTGCAAGCGTATCACAGAAGCAAAAAGAAGCTGGTCAAGAAAAGAAAACAGAGTGCTGATAGTCAGGACTGAGGTGAGACCAAAGCAAGGACTGTACACACAGTACATTGTTACAATTTAGGGCTGTTGTGTTGAAGGCACCGTGAATAATCAGTTAATAAATGTTGAGCTATTTCTCCTAGGGAAAATACAGAGTTATGTTCTTATGAATCTCTGGTCAAAACATTTTTGTCAACTAATGAATACACGGCTCCATTTTATGTGTGTTTCTGTTTAAAGACACCTTCTTTAATGTATACATAATTTCAAATGATTTCGTATATGCAGTATTTTCTTAAAGATTTTATTTACTTATTTTTAGAGAGGGGGAAGGGAGGGAAAAAGAGAGGGAGAGAAACCTCGATCAGCTGGCTCTCATATGTACTCCAACCAGGACCAAACCTGCAACACAGGTACGTGCCCTGCCTGGGAATTGAACTGGTGACCTTTTTGCTGTGTGGGACAAAACCCAACCAACTGAACCACACTGTTCAGGGCTGTATGTAGTATTTTTAAAATAGTAAAACATCAGCCAGGAGTGTTTAACATCTTCCTGACCCTGGGTAATGCAATTACAAGTATTTTTGACTTTTAGCCACACAGTTGTGCTGTCTATTATGCTTAAATAAACAAAAATGGTCATTATATCATGAATTCACAGATCTAGCTCCTTCTCCATCTATTCCTAGCTTCATTAAAGCATTATAAATGTTATTTTAGCATGTTGTGAGCAGCTCTACATATAGATCAGCAAATTCCTCTTCTTTTTTTCTGGATTTAATGCATTGTTTATTTATTAACAGTGAACTCATGGCCAAGAACACTATAACTCATGCTTGAACAAAGCTTATTTACACATGCATTTTTTCCTCTGTGAGGCATACTACAATCTATTTGTGCTTAGAAACACTACAGAGCTCCTTGGCGCTATGCTACAGGGATATTTTAAACACTGAAATTATAAACAAAGAGCATAAAAATGTGAAAAATGGGGCAATAAATACATCACAAAAGGGACACTTTTTTATAGTGCAAGAACTGAAACAAGAAGGCAGAGTGTCACCTTGTTCAATCTCAGCACAAATGGCAGTGCAAGTTGAGATACACATCACTGGACTTCAATTACTTCAAAAGTCATTAATTAATCCCAAAAATAATTCTTCAGCACTCGCCTTGCAGTAGGGACATATCAAGTATAAAGCAGTGGGGGAGAGAAAGATCATCATTGTCTTCTGAGCTTGAAAATTCGACCTTCCTCATTTGATTCCACAAGTTTACTGTTCTCATTGTTGCATCCATCTTACTTCTTAGTACAGCAACTTATTTGGGTTGAACTAGGGGAAAGGGACTTAGCTTTAGTTTGTGTAGAGGGTAAGGAGAACATCTATATGAACCTAGTGTAGGTGGCAGCAGCTGCACATGTCAAAATTTTTGTAAAATAAAGTGCAATGGGAGAGGGGGGAAAAGGTAAAAATAATGGGATGAGAGAAAGCACACTGTAGGACTGCTTCAATCTTTCTACCTGAATTAGACTGGATGGTCTGGACGGTTGCTTCTCTAGGTTCCAATCTACCTTGTCACCCATGCGTAGCAGCCATGTGGGTTTGTGGATTGGTTGACTCCACTGTCTCCTGTACTTTGAACCTGATCAGCCTAAGGAAAATATGAAAAAGTGCCCTTAGCAATGCAATAGGCTAAAGGGTGGACTGGTAACCTATAATTTAAGCCAAATCTTTATATAGATCCCACTTACCCTAGCTAAAAATTATGGTTCAGGGCTAGGCGTCTGCTCTAAGGTGGTACAGTTTATATGAAGCCTGATTCTTATGAATGATTATAGGGGAAAGAGATTCTCCTTCTTGTCTGGGATGTTATTGTGTGAGACATAATGCCTGAAACTAAATCTATTTTTTCAACTCCAGAGAAGCAAGCTAAGAATAAAAATACATGCAGGAAGTCAGAGAAATTACATATTTGAAATTTGTTAAGAGGGTAGATCTTAAGTGTTCGCAACACAAAAAAAGAATAAAACAAGTAACTGAGTTAATGGACATGCTAATTATAATTAGCTTGACCGTCATGATCATTTCACAACACAGACATAAATCAAACATTTAGTTGTAGACTGTGAATACATAAAAGTTTCATTTGTCAATTATACCTCAATAAAGCTAAAAACAACAAAAACAATAATAAAATGTTTTTTAAAAAGGCAGAGACTACAGACCCACAGATGCGTACAAGTTAAACTCTAGTTAAAGCCTGAGAGACCCTGACTTCTCAGTTTTGTCAGTCCATAAATTCCCTTTATTGCTTAAGCCCAACAAGTGTGATTCTTTCTTTGTGACAGAAACATGAACCTCAGGGGACTCAGCTAACTGTTACTCTTACTTGCAATATTTATCCTCTCTCTTCCATTTTCTTTATTCTTTAAAATTAGTTTCTTGCCCTTCTGCTTTTTCTATCATGTCTTCATTCTTTTAAACTCTTACACTCTCTTGTTCTTTATCTTTGACATCTGGACCAATCCCTTTCCTGAACTCTTTTCTAACAAACAACTGAAAAAGAATCGAAGTGCTATCTGCTGCTGGGTAAATGAGTAACACTGGAAATACTCTCTGATCTTCTTTATTTTCTTTAGTTAAATGGAGACAAAAAATATATACTTTCAATGTTTTTGGAGAGATGGAAAAACAACCTAGCACCATCATACAATAAACCATAAAATGTTGCCACAATGACAGTTAAAAATAATCAAAATACAAGGCATTTACCACAGAGTTTCTCCTGAAACAAAAAGTTTGTTTCTTTTGTTCATTCATTCATTCCTTATATGCTCAGCTTTTACTATTTGTATCATAAATATAGTCACTGAAAGTTGATCTAAATATATGAGAAGCAGCTATGTCTCCAAGTATTTAAAATATAATAATTTCATCTTCTAAGCTTATTCCTTTTTTGATATTTAATCACCTAGAGTCAAACTTCAGAAAACTTTCAAGCCTTTCTTTCCCAGCTTTTCTGAATACCAAGTTATTATCTATAAAAATTATTTTTCCTCCCATTGGTGGGCCTTATCAACCTCAACACAGGATAAATGTAGAGCTTTCCTATCTCCTCACACACATCCCTGTTGGCTTCCTGAACAAACACTGTTTCAGCCTCAGGGGGCTCAAGTTTAAGAGATAGTAATTTCCATTACTGAGATACTCCTCAAGAAAGGATAGAGACCTTAGTATCAAATGTGAGGCATGTTCATGACTGAACACAGACCCCACAGGCGATATGTGAATCTCCTGGGATTTCCCAATTGAAAGGAGCTGGCTGTACTGTCAGAATTAGTAGGTAGACTGGGGTGGTAGGTAAGTGAATGATGACAAAGCTGCTCCATTTGTTAAAATATATCAGGTACTGGGCATTTTGCCCCACCCCATCTGTGTCCCATCTCCTGATTTTTTGATATAAGAGTAATCTGACGAAGTGTAAAGATGAATTATTTTAAAAAGTAAAATTACATTAAATAGTAAAAGTTTGTAAGTTAGTTATATGACAATATCCTAATGTGTTAATTAGATTTTAATTTTGTTCTTAACTTTTTCAAGGCATGTAAAAGATTTTTTTGAAGATAATTCAGACAATGTAACCAGATGGCTCTAGTCAGCATTGTAAATAAGAGAAGGTTTAACACATCACTGCATCATCACATTTATAAATATTTATGTTTATGCCTTATACTCATTTAATTGAATTCTTTAATTATTCATTATTTTCATTGTTTCTTATGATCTTTGAAAAAATCGTTTTCTTATTCACACATAAGAGGAAGTTTAACTGGTCAAGTCCACAGTAAGCTGCAGGTTTATAGGACATTTCTCATTTCTAGAAATAAAGATTAAAAGAGAACTTGTGACTTTTTATAGTATGCACAATTTCAGTAAGAAATAATGGGAGGGAAATTTCTTACAATAGACTTGGCCACATCTACACACGAACTATGTTTCATCACAGGCAGGAGCAAGGGATACAAAGAA